TTTTTTGTATTTTAGGGAAGGGTCTACAGGGTCTCACTACGTAGATCGGACTTGTAGTGATCCTCCTGTTTACAGCCTCCCAAACAGCTGGGATCACAGGTGTGCGCCACCATGCCCAGTGTCTAACACTGTCTCAGCGTGCCCCGGGGGCGGGGCTGGCATGGCAGGCCAGAGATCGAATCCCAGCCGCTGGGTCTGCCTAAGCAGGTACTTTAATTCGTTGAGCTATTTTGCCGGCCCATCATCACCTTCTTTCTGAAGGGCTCAAACTAGCTTGCAAGGATTTCACCAAACGCTACACAAGCTTTGAGATGAAGGAGAAGTCAGTCTACAGCAAGGGCAGGGAAGAACAAGGAGAAAGGCACTGACAAAACCTCTCTGTGAGTTACTGCGGGGTCTGGGGGAAGATTCCAGCCTGTCTTGCTCAGGTCCACCTGCAAGCGCTGACCAGTGCTCCTGCGGGAAGAAGGGAGCGACTCACCAGGTTCTCGGCACTGTGCAGTTCATGGGTGGTGGAAGCGCAGCGTGTGATGAGGGACTTGAACATAGCGCTGACGATAATGCCTTCCACGTTCTGGGCTGTGGATTTGTTGTCCACCGTGGTGAAGTTGTTTCCAAACCCGGCCTTGTCTGGAATGCAAAGGCACACATCACAGACAAAGTTTCTGTTAAACTACACTGTCTGAAGGAGTGAGAAAGTAAAAATATGTTGCATACAGGAAAAAGGAAAAAAAATACACAAAATACAGAAACAGAAGAGTAAAGGTGGCCAGTTTAACAACCTTTACACAAACTTGGGAACAAACGAGTCATACTCTTCCCTGTCTTTCTATAGCATTTCCAACAAAACTGGCAGAGCATTTTGACTGCTAAGCCTTAGCCAAAGGAAAGGGGATGGCCTGTTGCCTTTAGGCTTAAAGTAGTTTTTAAGTAGGTGCTCTCTTTTAAAAAGTGATCTGCCAAATGTCCCCTTAATGGAGAAAGTTAATTGGATGCAGTCTTTGTGGTGAGGAGGAGGGCTGGCTACTCAGGGGAAACTGCTCAGTGTGTCAGAAGTGGAGGAAGGCAGGGTCAGCCAGCTGAGCAACCAAATGGAAGCAGCAGAAAGGAGCCCAAGGAGGGGCCTCACATAGACAGGGAGAAAAGAACATCCTGCCACCTGCTGCAGAATGCTCCCCGGAGCTTCTTAGATATGTGGAGAGAGAATGTCTACAACACCCCTCTGAGTGCCCCCTTCCGACTCATACCAGGAACTGGGCTCATTCATCTCCACAGTGTTTTACACCAGTGTTTCACAGATCCATACATGGTCCACCAGGCACAGGTGTTCAGTAGCCTCCTCAGAGAATTCTGTAGAACTAGTGAGCTACCAGTGGGGAGGGCAGATCCAGCCTAAGACTATCCCACAAGGACCCATCTGGCTGATCCGTTCACTGCGACCATTTCCACATCTCAAGAATCCCAGGAGGACACACCTTAAAGTAACACATTTTATTACCAACCTCTCACTGTATGTGCCAATTGATGGGGTTATTTCTAGGTTTTACATTACCAAAAGAAATACTTCAGTTTATGCTTATAGTTCCTATCTCATATAACTTAAAAAATATTAGTTTGGAAGCAAGAATTTCTCTTGGAGATCTCAACTAGAATCCTCAGTTCATTGGTGTTTAAGTTTATAATAGGTTTGGCTCAAAGTAATTCAAAATAACATAGATTATATTTCTGTAGATGAACAATATTTTTCAATGTTAGAATCAAACAATAAAGCCTGGGATCTAACCAGGAAGACTGCTGCAAAATTTATCAAGCACTGTCCATTGTTAATATAAATTAATTAACAATGAATATTCACATGTAATATGAATAAAAGCCTTCAGTTACTACATTTGCATTCAAATGATACGAAAAGAGTTGTTGAGTTTATTATAAATGCAGTATAATTGAGACTGTTAATCTTGATGTATCAACTTAACTAGATTAAGAAATTCCTAGCAGATCATGAGAACACACTCTTGTGTGTGTCAGAGTGAGTTATGGAGGTCTAACCTTGAGTACTATACTTGGGCCCTTACCAGCTCCTCTTGGGCACTGTTCCCCTGCTCTGCATTCTGGTCACAATGAGTTGAGCAATTTGCTCTCCCATGATATTTCTGCCTTGGAATCAGACTACCACGGACTGAACCCATCGGACCTTGAGCCACACTAAAATCTCCTCCTTTAAGTTATAAGTATTATGTCCTCACGATGGAAAACCTAAGGCAGTAATTTAGATCTCTATATTGGAGCTATAAAATAGCCTGTGTATGGATACTTTTGCTTAGTTTTAAAAAATTAAACCCATATATACATGTAAAATTCATGTTATTTCTATTCTCACCGCAACCACATGTATTTATTCTCTCTTTGCTGTTTTACATTGTGAAAAAATTGCCAGGTACTGTGCCTGACACATCATATATACTCATTTCACATTGGTTTAATTAATAAATATATTTCCTGTCTCTAGATTCATAGTGAAAGTTGTTTAAGAGAAAGTCCTATGTGACACAGCAGTCCTATGACTAGAAATATAAAGATTGGAGAGCTATGGTGAGTATACCACAAGCTTTATCAAGTTCTTCTTCACAGAGCTAAGTTGTCCTCTAGGACAAAATGTGCCATCAAAGATGATATGTGGGCTTTCTGATTATACTCTATTTTTTAAAATTGTATTTGGTTGGTACAGGTTTTCACTATGAAGCTTGGACTCATAGTGATCCTCTTGTTTTCAGCCTCCCCAGCATTGGGATGACAGGTGTACACCACTATGCCCGGACTCTGTGACCAGTTCAGCCTGCCCTGGGGGTGGGGCTGGCATAGCTTGTGGTGCCTGAGATTGAACCGCAGTCCCTGCACTTGCCTGAGCTCGCCTAAGTAGGCACTTTGGTCTGCTGAGCTATCTCGCCAGCCCCTCTGATTATACTCTATTACACACACAGGTGCATGCATGTGTGCACATCTCTTCTTTAAATCCTGCCTTTACATATTTAGTATGCCCTTGAAATACTACCTGCTTCACCTCACACCGACTGCTCCTAGTGCTCAGGGATAGCTTTACTTACTGTCGGTGACTGGCTCCATACAAAATCCTAGCAAAGCATGCAAGAAGTCCACTACATTATTGAGAGAATCCTTGTTCACATAGTCCCTCATGGTTTGTCGGAATTGCATCTTATCTAGCTTGTATAGTTTAGTGAGGCAGTTCTGGGCCTGCAATGAAGGAAGAAAAGTGAAAAAGTCAAAAGTACCAGCTTAAGCTACAGATATTAGTCCAACACAGAAGCTTTCAGAAAAGCAAGACTTCCATCCCTCCCAGCCCCACTGGCTGGTGCCAAACCATCCTGCTAGCCACTCTTGTCTAAGAAGTGGGCAGAGATAGACTGGGCAATCCCTGAGAGCTTAAATAGAGAAGAATCACTCCTCAGGAAAAACACAAAGCTAAAGTCTAACCCCAGGAGGAGTTCAGTATTTTCACCAAGATCAAGACTTTAAGATCTTAATGAATGTAATACAAAATTTAAAACTGGGATAAGTGATAGAATTGTTAGCAACTCATGAGGCTTCGTGCAAGGGTGCCACGCCTACTCTGAGTACATATTAAGTAAATAGATTTAAGAGAGGTAGTGAGAGAAAAGAAGGTAGGAAGTAAGTTCCATTGTTATGCTGAAACACACAAGAAGTATAAAATAAAGCCTAGTTTCTTTATTTATGTGTAAGAATTTGGTTCTGAAAATATGGTATTTAAATAGAAGTTAGCTTCATAAGTATGAAAGTCAAACGATCATTGGCTATACACACTTACTCAAAATAACAGTCTAATTCTTAGGATCCAACAGATAATTTTGCCACCTGGTAAAGGAAGGGGGTACAGATCCTGCCACCAGAACCAATGAAGTGACAGTTATTAGCTGCAGAAGGTAGCAAATAAAATGGTGACACTGCCTGGGAGTGCTGAGGGCCTGCCAGCTCTCTTCTACTACCAAAAGAACAATTCCTTTTGTGTGATGTTTTGCTGTTTAAAACACATTGCTCACATGTGCATGTGTCATGTTTGACTTTTATGTCTCCGAGATTTGCTGAGTATTCCCTTATCACAGTCAAGAGAAACAAAACTCAAAAGAAGCCAAGAACTCTTTCCAAGTTGATACCACAAATTATAGTCAAAAACTAGAAGTCAGGCCCTTGTCTCTTAACCTAGCTATTTCTCCTGTGATATATATTTGTCTCATCAATAGTTCAGAAAATGATATTTTTGGGAAATGTGTTTATGTGCCACTCATTTCAAAAAAAAAGATTTAAGATGACTGACAGGAGATCGGTTGGTTTCTTTTTTAAAAAATTTATGTATTTGGTACAGTGTCTCACTATACAGCTCGGACTTGATCCTCCTGTTTTCAGTACTCCCCGCTGAGCTATCTCTCCAGCCGTAATAAAGGGATGCCAATTTTTTTTTAAATTTTTTTATTCATTTATTTATTTGATACAGGGTCTCACTATGCTCAGTTTTGGCTGGCATGGCATGAGGTACCAGTGATTGAACTTGGGTCATTGTGCTTTCCAGGTAGGCACTTAGACTGCCAAGCAATCTGCCCGGCTCCAAGTGGTTTTTTTGTGGGAAGAAAAAAGTATAGTAAACCAAAGAGATACAAGAAAATCCAACATGATGGAATGAGTTGAGGAAATGGCAGAAGTCTTTGGGATGAAATAAAAGGGCAAAGTATCAAGAAAGGAGAGATAGCTAGGGGAGGGTCTCCATAACGGAGGATAGAGAACTTCACAGGACCAAACAGGGGCATGGGAGTAAGATTAGGAAGGAAGTATCTGAGAAGCAGAACTTTATTGATGGGATCATAGTAATGACCCAGAAGACAACTTAAGTTGCATTATAGTTTTGATAAAGCCCAAGAGAAAGATATTTGGAAATTCTGAGAAGGAAAGACAAAACTTAAAAAAAAAAAAAAGGAATGTCGGAAATAGCTACACAATTGGCAACTGTTTTGGTATTATTTTGTCTAATTAAAAATTAAAAATTGTTTCTTTACTATGTATGAGCAGGTTTAAAAGTAAGTACTTTTATTCCCAGAGAATTCATTACTTTCCAGATCCCAAGTAAATTCATATATTTTATTAATTTATTTCTTACAAAATACATGCTGTGTTTGAAGTTTGCAAAAGACTTAGATAAAAGATGTTCTGCACAAAGAAGTAAATTATTGGTCCATAAAGAATTTAACTTTAATATTTATAATATTTTTATATTTTTAAAATTTAAATATTTCTTTTAAAGTTCTGGATTGGAAAAATCCTTAAGTACAGATTATTCCATGTTCTCTATAAAATACACCAAAGAGGCATAATGTCATATGCATTCTTTAAGGATCTTAGGCTATCTATATGTTCTACATGAGTTTAGTGGAAGTTCAAGTTTAAAATAAGATTGTCAAGGCTTAAATATTTAGCTTCTGAATGAATATCTTAAAATCTTCAGGAGATACAAATGTGTTAAAAAGTGATTTCCTTTTCCATACTTTGGTACTATGAGGTAATGATTACATTAATGATCCAAGAAGGATTGCAGGGTTATGTGATTAAATCACTAGGCAATGGGCTAGGGAGATAGCTCAGCAGCACAAGCACCTGCCTGGCAAGCGCAAGGTCCTGAGTTTCATCCCTGGTATTACATGCCATGCCAGTGCCAGAACTGAGTGATGTATACTTGTAATCCCAGCACTAGGGAGGCTAAGACAGGAGGATCACTACAAGTCAGAATTGTGTAGCACCACCATGTATCAAATAAATAAATAAATAAATAAAAACATTTTAATGGGTATCAGTAAGTACTATTTTTTTAAAAAGGTATAGAGACTATGATCTGCTACAATGAAGAAACATTCTTAACTTCTTTTGAAAAGGTAACTTCTTAAAATCTAATGGTAGAAAAATATGTGACTAACTTCTTGAAGTAGACATTTTTCAGAGGAGTCTCTCAAGCTTGTATCTCAAGGACAATGTGTTTACTGAACGTGGATTAGCACACATGGCCTCTCCAATGAGCCTGGAACAAGCCCAAAGGGGACAAAGGGATTGTCCTTTTAGGCCAAGCTGGAAGCTAGATATGAAAGTAGCTGGGCAAGCTCAGCAAAGCATGCCACGCTCTTGGAGAAAGCATTGGCCACTCCCGGTCCAACCAGTTTAGCATTCTGCAAATCCACAAGGACCAGACACAGTTGTCAGAGCCAGTGTGTACCAACAACTAGAGCATGACCCTCTTTAATTACATTTCAGCTCTTCATCTCAGGAAACTGTTCTCCTGCCTGAGGAGTGGTGCTGTTTATTTAACCTTCTAGGCTTTATTTCATACTTTGTCAGAACTGAAAAGGTCAAAAACTGCATACATATGTGCAAAGATGGAAGCAGTATGCACTCTCTGTTACCTTTATTATTACTTTGACTTTTATGTTTGGACTTGAAAATCTTGATCTTGGTCAAAATGTTTGAATTTCGGAGTTTTGAAGTCAATTACTTAGACTATAACCCTCCTATACACACAATAAACCACAATAATAACACATAGCAAAATACAAAAGAAAGATGAATAGCTAGATGACAGATGACACTTAAGCAAGAAATCCAGCATGCTAATACTGTGTGAACATTTCATGACAAAACCTAACACCAAGGCAAAATAAGCTGCTGTTAGACTTTGACATGATCCCAAATCTCTGCCAAGATCTGCTCAAGCGTTTTCTGCACTTGGATTTGAATCAAATCCTTAATGCTAAGAGAGTATCTTTTTACCATTTCAATTCAAAGGTACGTGTGAGGAAACTGTCCCAGCTCAGGATTGCTGCAAAAGTAGATTGGTGTTCAGATCAGATGGGAAATGGAGCTGTTAGTGGAGGCAAAGAAAAATGGGCTAGAGCAAGACATCATTCCAGGACAGAGCTATGCTTGGGGCAGAATATGTGCAGAGTTTCCGGTTTCACACAGCTCAGAGGGGTAAGATTGCAGATATCTGGAAGTCGAGGTTCATTCTCAGGCAAAGCAACCAGAAAATGACTGGCTACTTTTATAGTCCTGTTTTGTCTCAATAAGGGCCATTTTCCATATCTAAGTAAGAACAATAAACTAGGTCTTAACTTTGACCCCTTTCTCTTATATAAAATATGCTTCTACAACCCAGACAGATGATTAAAAAATCATTAGTCACAGGCCATCAAGAGTTTGCCGAATGTACCATCTCTGCAAAGCTCTTTCAAACTGCCCTTCATGCATTCCAATTATGCATTTTTTCACCAACAGGTAGTTGGCCTGCCTTAGGCAGGAGGCAGAAGACTTTTTTCCAATAACTTTCCTAAACTTGAGTTTTAGATGTCTTGAGATATATTGTGGGAATACTGCCACCCTAAGATGGCATCAGTGATCCTCAGGAAGCACAGTATATTTTAGGGAATGCTGACCCTCATTGTCAAAGGACTAATTTCTCAACTGGAGAGAGGGAAGAGGGTGAGGAAATGGAATCTACTTTAATTCTCTTACATTCTCTCGGAATACCTGGTGTCTCAGACGATCTCCAGAGAGCCCTCGATGTCCTTCTCCGCAACCATAGGCACATCCCAAAGATTTCACGATTTTGATGAGCATGGTGAGGGCCAGCCTATGGTTGCTTACAGGAGTATTTTCATCCTAATGCCCATGGTCAAGAAACAAGGAGCAGTCAGTTTACTTTATCACTGAAATCCCTTTGTCACTAAGAGTCTACGTATTTTATGACTTAAATAAAGTTTATATGGTTTGCACCTGCAAAATGGGAAATAGAATTGTTTGGGGCTAAACAAACTCAGTTTTCTAAAATCTACTTGAATTTAAAGAAAGAAATCACATCTTAAACATCCTCTGGTAGTAAAGGATATGATCATAGATTTCTTTACTAGAAGATAAGCTCTGTGTCTGGTGGTGAAACTATGACATGCATGCTGCAGTTGGCTGTGTGTTATCACTAAAAGCTCTAAACAGTTCATCATTAGTGGTGCTCTGTATCCTTGTCAGACCATCAGCAGAGCCACCTGGAAAGGCCTGTGGGACTGTCAGAGGTAAAGGCAAAAAGCTTTACATACAAACTATCCTTGTCAGAAGGCATCGGATAATGCCACCAGGTGAGCATTACTGCTCAACTTTGGGAATGGACCTGTATTTGAAGCTTTGGAATCTCATGACGATTTCTGACATTTCTGAGGAATTTTGCTGACTATATTCTCTTGCTATCCTGTAGGATACATGCATAAGCCAAATGAGGATATCTAGAACTTTCTAAACACGCAACTTGATTCTTCTCTTGAGGCTAGACAGGAAGTTCTCCTGTGAGAGTTGACATCACCCTCTCATTTGCTGTTTCTCGTCTTCTCTTTTTATTTTTTCCCCAATACCAGGGATCAAGTTCAGGACCTTTTGTTTGCCAGGCAGGTGCTTATGCTGCTGAGCTATCTCCCCAGCCCTCTTCCTCACTTTTTGTGAGCAGAGAGCATGGTTCCCCCAAAATGAACTGCCTTGAGTTACTATACTTCCGAGGAAGGGTGAGGAAACTGTTGCTAGGGAAAGCTGCTGAGCCCAGGGTACCCTCAGGCCTCCTAGCTAAGCTCAGCCTTCAGCAATGCACAGTGGCCCTGGGATTCCAGCTCCTTCTCCCTTTGTCCTTACTTGCATATGATATTACATAATTTATCTTGTCTTTTGCATTTTAGTTTATTTGCCTGTGGATTAAGGACCTCAATAGCTCCTTTTTCTGCTTTACAGGTTTGTTGTGTAAATGAAATAATAGATGAGAATTGCTGTGAAATGTCAATTTCACTAATGAGGCTCTTTTCATTAGTCATACAGTCAGGATGACACATAAACTTTGGGACCACATATGGAGGGAGTACTTCAATGTGAGCAGGGTGTGAAAGAGTTAAGGAGCTATTTAGACATTATCATCTGTCTTAATGTGGTAGGGTAGTCTTCTCCCCCAGTGTTTTCTAATTGGTCCTTTTTTGCTATCTATAAATTTCTGTATTGGAGACAGTATTGAGCCCCAGAGATTCTCTCAGCAGGAAGAAAATATTCTTTCTCTAAGCTCTCAGTGCCCAGCTGATTCTCTCTGCAGGAAGAAAATATCCTTTCTCTGAGCTCCAGCTGGACAGCTGCAGCCTCCACCAGACCAGCATTATGCTGTTTCCCTCAGGGCAGCCTACCTCTGATGAAGTGGTTAACGGCATAACTGGGGGGAGTGTGGCGCCACATGTCCCCGTTACACAAGGACTGCATGGCACAGCCATCCTGGGCCCAGAGCCCTCTCTTTCGTGATATAATTACTGGCCAAGAAATTGTCTTTAGTTTGGATTCAAGTCTTAGTGCTAACATTTCGTTACTGCATAACCTTAGGAAAGCTACTTAGCCACTCGACTCTACACAGTGAGAATCGTAATACCTGTCTCTGGAGATGGGAGAGTCCAGTCAAAACATGTAAGACCCATCCGAAAAGGAAAACAAGTGTTAATTGCTATTTCTAAATGTGGGTTGTTGCTGTCCTCTGGGGCATCATTATGTACACTGAAAAAACTATCGCCTCTTGGAGGATGAATTAGACAAGAGCCCTCTGGGTGGACTGGACCTCAGATGAGCAGCTCTGTGAACCGAGCTTGAATCAAATTTCAGTCCTCACTGGCTCCCATAGTCAGGAGCCTGTGAGCAGCGCACAGACAAAAACACAATCAGATAAGCAGTGCCTCAGAACAAGGGCTCATTTGGAAAAAAAATTTGTATGATATTTTATATTATTATTATTATTATTATTTTAATGTATTTTGGTACAAGGCCTCACTAAAAAGCTCAGATCTGAAGGGATTCTCCTGTTTTCAGCCTCCCGAGCCCTGGGATTACAGGCATGTGCCACCACACCCAATCTCAGTGGCTAGCTCAACACACCCAGGAAGGGCCCTGCACAGCTTGTGGTGCCAGGGATAGAACCCCGGTCTGTGCACTTGTCTAAGCAAGTATTTAGTCCACTAAGCTACCTTGCTGGCCATATATATTTTAAAATTACTGTATGTTCCTTAAAAAATTCTCTAGTTCTGAGAGCTTTTTATAAATATTTGCTCAGGTTTTAATCTTTCAGATGTCCTTGGGATTTATGTTGCTTTCATAGGAGATGTTAAGAAAGACATATAAAGCTCCAAGCAGAAATCACAGATATCAGAAAATGTTTGAAGCTCTCAGGATTAGGTCAGGAGTCAATGCAGAAACAAATTTGACCTTCCTTTTGGTCTTGATCAATTTCCCCAAACTTCTTATGCTACTAGATTGCAAAATTAGATAAATTCTCTGATTCCACTGAAAGTAACAGATGGTTCTAGAGCAAAGCAGACCTTTGTAAATTACAAACACTAGGCACTTGACCTACTCTCAGGTTTCATTTCATAAATTCTTTGTACTAGACATATATATTATTATTTTGTGAACTAAGTGGATACACAGTATTTATCTGTTGCTGACTCTTTTCAGAGTTACATCATCTGAAACACCCCATATTGACCAACAGAGACAATGTTGAATCCAATAGTATTTACAGTGTCAAGTTACAATGTCTAGGATACTAGATAAGTGATTTAGACAGGAGAAGAAAATCCTAAAGGAAAAGATAAGAAATTCAATAATAAGGGCCAGCCAGATAGCTCAGTGGACTAAAGGGCCTGCTTAGAATTAAGAATTATAGAAGGAAGGAACCTGGTCCCTACCAAGGTTCAATTCCCGGCCTGCTGTGCCTGCCCTGGGGTACGCTGAGATGGTGACTGAGACTTTGGCGTGGTGACACGTGCCTGTAATCCCAGCGCTTGGGAAGCTGAAAACAGGAGAATCACTACAAGTCCGATCTGTATTGTGAGAACCTGTTACCCTGTACTAAATACATTAAAAAAAAAAAAAGAAAGAAAGAAAGAAAGAAAGCCAATAACATCGAAGCAGGAATATTTGGAAAAGAGTCCATGGATATTGGAGAGGTGCAAGAAAGCCAGGTAATGAAGAAACTCAGATGATAAATACGAATTAAGTATGTGCTACGTGGGACTGAAAAGAGAAAGGAAATTATAAAAGAGGAAGGGATTCTATAATCCTTATTCAGATATAAGAACATAACACCCTATAAGGACATAATAGGTGATTTACAGTTTATATAATGTATGCAGATGGTAGAATTCTATATAGTGTAATCTTTTATAAACATTGGATATGATATGAGATTGCTTCCTATTGAAAATTCTACTTTCTTTCTCTCTCTGTGGCCGGCTCAGTCCACCCTGGGGGCAGGGCTGGCGCTGCATGTGGAGCCAGGGATCGAACCGCAGTCCCTGTGCTTTGCCTAAGCTTGCCTAAGCAGGTACTTTAGACCACTGAGGCTATCTTGCAGGCCCAATTCTAATTTGTTCTTGATTTCAATTTCTGAGCAGCATTTTCCGGCTAGTCTCGAACTGAAATTGGTGTTAACTTGCATGGATTTAAAGTGTGGTAATTTGTATTTAAGCTCAAAGAGCAAAATGAATGCTGAAGTTATATGATCATAACTGGTGCTGCCAAAGCAGAGGAAATGAAATTTAGAAACAATCAATAACAAAACGATGAAAGCCTCTGAGCTCTGGCACAGGGAGGCACAAGAGGAAGGCAGCTAGGAGAACTGTTCCTGCACCAAACCAGTGCCAATCAGATCTATAGACTCAACAGGCAAAACTCCTGCCTGGTTTTCTCCCTAACTCTGGTTAAAGTTGCCTGCTGAAAATGTGTGACTTATATCAAAATGGAACTTCATATTAAAGGAAATTATATTGCTTCTTTGTGTCCTCCCAAAATTACTCTATTGAAGCCTTAATTCCCAAATGACGGAAATATTGGAAATTAGCCTTTTGGAGGTAATTGGAATGAAATGAGGTCAGCTATGCAGACCCCAGCCCTGTGGGATTAGTCTCATGAAAGAAATACTGATGCCGGGTTGATCCTCTCTCGCCTGTGCTCCGTCTCTGTCTGTCCGTCTCTATCTGTCTCTCTTTTTGCCTCCATCTCCCCTTTTCTTCTCCCACATACGCCAAGAAAAGGCAGCATGAACACACGGTGCTGCAGTTGCCTAGTCATCTAGAAGCCAAGAGAAGAGGCCCTGGAATGAAACCCACCCTCCTGGCACCTGGACCTTAGATTTCAAGCATTCAAATCTGTGGGAAATAAATTTCTGTTGTTTAAGCACTCACTCATGCTGGGCTGAGGATATAGCTCAGTGACACAATATCTGTCTGGAAAGCATGAGGTTGGTTGTGAGTTTGATTCTTGATACCAAAAAATAAAAAATAAAATACTCAGACTATAGTATTTTGCTATGGTAGCCTGAGCAGATTTAGACTCTGTATGTCTTGAGAAAGAGAACATCAAAAAAGAAAGAAAGAAAGAAAGAAAGAAAGAAAGAAAGAAAGAAAGAAAGAAAAGAAAGAAAGAAAGGAAGAAAGAAAGAAAGAAAGAAAGAAAGAAAGAAAGAAAGAAAGAAAGAAAGAGAAAGAAAAAAAATAAATAAAATAAAAAATTTTTAAAAAAAGAAAGAGAACATCTTTGGAGTCTTACCTAGAATTACTATACTAACGTACCTAAGATATTCTGCAGAAATAACATGACCAAGAATTAGTTCTGACACTGGGTGTCTGGTGATGGGTTTTTGATTTAGAATGTAGTCTCAAGAAATGGTTTCTACCCATGCCTGCTAAGAACTTAATAAAGAGATTTATACAACCACAACTTTCTTGTTCTTATGACTACTTGCTATTTTGCATTAATAAATTTTGGGCAAGCAAACATTGGAAAGAAATTTTTCCAGGAGGACATGGAAGGAGGTTCAGTCATACCTTTTCTTGGTTCTTATCATTCTTCTCAAAAGGACCACCTCCACCACCTCCACCTCCTCCTCCATCACCTCCTCCACGTCCACCATCTCCACTTCCTCCTTCTTCTCCTCCATTTCCAGCTCCACTAACTGAAGGGCCTCCAAATCCACAGGTGGAACTTCCAGATACCCCTTTGAACTGAAAAGTTCCTTCACTTGGTCTCTTTTCCACAGCCTCATTTTCCTTGTTGCCACTTTTCTTTCTGTTCTTTTCAACACAGGGCACGACCCCAAGTTGAAGCAAGCATTCCACGATATTTAGGGCCACGTCACAGATGCGAGAGCTGATGTCATGGTTAAGAACAAGATAAACAGCTTTCAGAACCACCTGTGAAAGACAAAGACAAATTCAAGATGATGAAATTACCTGTACTCCTTCCCTGATATATTTGGTTATTCTATTTAATCCCCTTCCTTAGGTTGTTCTGTGGATTTGAGCATAAATAATTCAGACAATTTTCAGATATCTTTGTCCAAATTGCATTGGAACTTTGTGTACATGCTTACTATAAATATAAATCACCAAAAGAATTAAAAACACACACTGTCTCAAGTAAGCCTTCCAAACCCTGCCATGAAGGAGACAGTCATGAAAATACTGAAGCATAGTGAGTTAAAGGGACAGAAATCATTTGTCTGCATGGAAATCTGGTTGACTAATTTTTAAAATCAGTGCTCCAGTGATCTAGCTTTCCCTTCCACAAAATGAATTAAAGCATGAGTGCTTATGTGCTTAATGGAGAAATATTTGGGCATTCACAGTTGCATCACTATTTACCCTTCAATTGCAAATGCATAGTGTTTCCATGTTTAAATTATGAGTCGTTATTAATTTTAATACTTTAAATTATTTGCGAACCCTGCTTCCCTAATGCGCAATAATGATGTTTGTGGACTATAATTTTAAGATATAAAAACTCTTTCATAGCTAATAACTATGTTCAAAACAGGCATTGTTAAGCATGCAAACTTAACTCTTTTAACGACTCAGATATTCATTTCTTTGGCAACACAGGGGGAATGTAGTCTTGTTGTTTATATAATAAAAGAAAATTTTTTTTAAAAAAACCCTTATTCTGATGAACCTTACCAAAAGTAAACCCATGTATATTTGTATGATGTATATATTCGAGATTCATTCATAATTTTGGATTATAAAATTTTAGAGATCAGATGTAATGTACTGCAATGACGGGGGAAGACAAAAGGTACACCTGGAATAGTTGACACCCATGAAGTTTTTTTTTTTTTTTTTTTTTTTGACAGACAACTTTTTGATTTTCAGATTGAGTACTTCTAAGCATCTGTATGGCCATTTTAGCCAACCTTGTAAAAACTGAACTAAGCAGTCCATAGCTTTCAAGCCTCTATAAGAAAACTTGTGCTTCTTACAGAGAGATCCAGCATGCCGTTCTTGTGGACGAAGTTGTTGGTGCCATCGATGTGCTCTGCATCCTCCAGGCAGCTATAGTTGATGCACGAGTCCGTGAGGCTCCGAGGCAGGTTGGCGCACGCCAGGGGCTCACGAGGCATCTCTGGGATGGGTACGGGGTTGCAAAGCTTCCGCATGTGCTCGCTGAAAAAGTCTGCGTAGCCCACGTTGAAGGATGCCAGCGTGGTGTTGAAGGTGGCAACTGTGATCGTGGAGATCTGAGATCGCACTAGGAAAAGGAAAACACTCCTCAGTTTTCCTCGTATTACCCGGCTACATCAGTTAGGCAGTCACACTGCTACTTAAGCTATGTCACCGCCATAGCTGGAGCTTCTGTGGACGTCTGACTTGTACTCTCAAGTTCCTGTCAATTCCCACGGAGCTGCTGATGCTGTAATGGCCATATAATAGCTGATGAACAATAAAAGGTACAGCAAAACTGAATGGCAACCGGCTTCCCTAAGGCTCAGGTTAGGATTTACCTGTTGCCTAACTGACTTCATTGATAATAACAGGTAGATTTTAATGACGTGTAGATAACAGATTATGTTGATATGAACTACTTTAGTAAAAATATTGCCCCATGAGGTTATGACTATCAAATTATTTTGTTTTGTTCTAATGTATTTAGAACAACAAACAAGAAGAATTCCTCTTTGGTTAAAAGTAGTGGAGTATGACTTGGTGGTGGCAACAAACAGGTGTCACTCAATATCTGAAATACAGTTCAGGGAAAAGGCAGATTGGATTCATGCTTCTTTGCGAGCATAAGAATAAGAAAAGGAATTTATTATTCCGTTGAGTAAAGAATAAGAGCTTGAGGGGGCTGGAGAGATGGCTCAGTGGTCTAAAGCACCTACTTGAAACAAGCTTGGCAAAGCACAGGGACCACGGTTCGATCCCCCAGCACCACATGCCAGCCAGCCCCGCCCCCTGGTGGGCTGAGCTGGCCACACACACACACAATAAATAAATGAAATAAATAAATAAATAAATAAAAAAGTTGTCAACCTAACAACCATGTGTCACAGACAAAAAAAAAAGGCACACACTGGTTTAAAAAAAAAAAAAGAATAAGAGCTTGAGTTAGATTCCATCCAGAGACGCATATTAGCTCTGCTGGGAGCACACAGGTATTTACCTCAAATAGGGGCTATCTGAGAAGGGGCTGTGTGGGCTCAGAAGGCAGTGACCTCCCTCCCCACTGAGGTGTACAAGTCCTGCTGACACAAATCATAGAGACAACTGATGCCCACAATCTCCACGTTTTCCAAAGTGTTTTCGAGCCCTGGAGTGCTATGATCATTTGAGGGACACATGGGGTGCTGCTCCTTGCTCTCTCAGCAGAGAGGGATGTGGTGTGGAGAGTGGGTATCCAACAGCTCTTGCTACCCAGGATATGCTGAGATGGGCTAACAAGTAAGTTATCAAAAGATGGAAGGCAAAAATGCCAGTTTTCAAAAAATGTAAGGTACAGGGTACAACCAGAAGGGAAGTGGCGTGAGAGGACAAAGGGAGATGCAAAGCTCTGTCCGCATGTACCTTCCTTGACAGTGTTCTCGCCATGGCTGTTGGAGTGGTCCGGAAGGTCGCTCACCAGCGTGTGATGCGAGTGGGAGGGCCTGGCGCTCAGGCTTTCCATCTCAGTGGCTGCGTCAGAGCTGCCCCGCCGCGTCAGCTTCCCTGAGATGGACAAGAGCAACGCAAGAGGCTTTTGACATCTGAAAGGTTCTCTGCAGAGACTTTGTCTTTCCAGAAGACAGCAGCCTGAGTGAGGACTCTTAGGGAGAGCACAAAGCCCAGCCAACAGAACAAGACTTGAACTTGCCTCAGGAATACTCAAGGTCAACATGATTGATGAAAATGCCTGTGATAAGGTCAGCCCCAATCTAAGCCACATGTCAGAAACCATCTGCTGTGGCCCTGCTAGCTGTCAGCTCCTGGTTTGAAGCTAACCCCTTAATATGCCATCCAAAAATGGGAAGAGGACATTGCTTTTTCTTTGCTTAGCTTCTTTATTAAACAACAACGTGAAATTAAAACTTTGTCTTTAGATTAACAAATGAAAGGTAACGTGCAGAACCCTCTAAGGCCATGTTTTTGCATGATTTAAGAAACAGGACCATTACCTGGCTAATTATACAGAACTCCTGCATAATTAATTTAATTATCTGTGTTTGTTTGGCTATGAAAACCTTGCATCATTTAAGCACTGAAAAACCTGCACGTAGGCCCAGATTTCTTGGCTAAACAATTCAAGAAAGATCTAGCTTTGCAGAGATTCTTCAGTTAAGATTGATAAACAGGTCCCTCAAACTCTACCTACTCAGGAAGGCCTTTGCATTCACCTAAAATAGTAGTTTGCCAGCCTCCTTTCTCAATGCCACGCCTTTCCTCTCCAAGCCCAGAGAAACTGCCAAAGGAAAATGTGCTGCGGGTGGGAGACACATCCAGATGGTCTTCATGAAGCAGGAATGGGACACCCATTCTCCGAGGTCTCCTTTTCCCCGTGTGGTGGAATGGAATGGAGCCTTTCCTTTCTCGGTCTTCTTTTCGGCTCTTGAACTGTAGTGGCAAGAGATAAGGGGTTAGGTGCAGGGCAAAGGAAAGGTGGCAGCTTGCTTCCCTGTGGGCTCCACATCCTAGAGTGAAACAGGAAATGTTCCAGGGAGCAGAGACCCAGGAAGTCACTGAATGCCATTCACTAGACAAAGGAGAGAGTTCCTTAATGTGTTAAAAGAGCAAAAGATACTAAGTAGAGGGTCCCACATTGGCTAGGTGCTTCTGCTGGGTGGGCTGGAGTAGCAGTTCCCAGGGGTCCATGGAACAGCACCACTGGCCTCCCTTGGCAACTGTCAGGAATGCAGATCCCCACACTCAAGCACAGACGTCTGCATCAGAAACTCAGGAGGGCAGGCCAGAAACGTGTGCTGCACGCAGTGAGTCTGCAGGAGAATTTGATGCGGGTCGAAACTTGAATACAGACTTCATGAATGATACTTGGACCAGCATGCCTCTTGTTCAGTTTTCAAGACTTAACCAATTGTTCCAGTCAGCTAATCTCAAATACATGTCACACTGCTTGCAAGGAAAGTCAAAGCTGAGACAGAACATTGGATTGTTGTGGTGTGGTTGAAAACAATAGGGAATATTTCATTTTTTTAAAAGTACTACAGTAAAAGATACATTACCACTAATCCTTCTCAAAATATTTTCCCTCCTTTTGAGCACACTTATCACTTCATTCTTGCCACTTTCTGACGCAGGTATGGCCTGGGATCAGGCCAGGAGCACCTTCCATATCTTTATGCTTCAGAGCCCTGGATCAATTAAAAATATTTACTTTTCATAGTCATTTGGATTGGAAGAAGAGGCGGAAGTCACCTGCTGTTAGGCTGATGGATGAGCTGGATGCGGACACGCTGCAATGGTTTTACAAGCTTGCCTTTCCTCTGGGCAGCATCTGGCAGCAACATTCACTGCGTTTCGCTTTCTCTCACTTTGCAAAGACACTCATCAAAGAGAACATCCAGGACTGCTTTGTAAAGTGGCAAGAACTCTGGGATAAGTGTGCTCAAAGCAAGGGAGAATAATTTAAGGGGTTTAAACATTTACCTTAGTTTTGGTCATCCCTTATACACACATTGGGACAAACTCATTGTTTCTACCAAACAAATTCGAGGAGTTTAGCATTCCTCAGAAAGCTTTTAAAACATACTAATGAATGGGCGTAACTTTCAGCAATTCTGATTTAATTCTGGGAACAGGCTAGGGGCACCTGGATTTCTCAAAGCTCCTCAAAAATTCTCATCTGAGGGGCTGGGGAGGTGGCTCAGTAGAATAAGTGCTTGCCTGGCAAGCACAAGGGCCTGAGTTCAATCCCTGGTTCTGAAAATAAATTCTCATCTGAGTAGTAAAATATGTTTTTTCTCTCAAATAATATTTTTAGAAAAGCAGTGGTTATTGCTTACTGTTGCATTACTAATGAGGCAGACATGACTGCTTATTTAGAAACAAGTTGAACTTCATAGATTATAGGTTAAAATATGTTCATGTTATTCATTTAAAGAAGCTAAAAGGTTTTAGAAACAAAAAGCAAACCTACTACTAATATATGAGTTTAAGTATAGTCTAGTATTTTCTATTTGATTAATTATGCACCTATAAAAATATAAATGGAACAATGGATTCAGAAGCACATAAATTACTTAGCTAGAAGATCTGTTTTTGTGTTTGGACTCAGTCTTTGGCAAGCTACCCACAATTTCTAAGGATTAATTTCTTCTCTGCAAAACAGGGAGAATAAGGATCTCATTGGAATAAGTGAGAATAGCCATGTAAAATCATTGATGAAACAAATTGAACCACACAAAGGTAGGTCACCATCGCTATTCATTAACTTTAGTTCCTTTTCCCACCCCATAGCGGGGCCCACTGACTCTTAGTTACTAAATTATCACAATGCCTAAGTGATTCTACTCACCTTTTTAAAAATGTTCATGCCCAGGTCTGAAGAAAGGTCTGGGACAGCAGACCTACGCAGATTGGTCAATGAAACCTTGGAGAAAGCCTCAGAGCTAAGAGACTTTTCCTCTTCGTTACACTTCAGTGTAAGATCCTGAATAAGAAGAAATGTTAGGCAATGATCTAATTCATTAAAAGAGACACTCATTCTGGATAGAATATCTACTAACAAGAACATATTTCTTTTTGAGTCTGATATTTATGCTTAGGCTTCAAACATGCAGACAAAACTTTCAGACTTTGGTGACTGATTTTTTTTTTTTTTTTTTTTTTGGTGGCAACAGGGATCAAACTCGGGACCTTGCACTCACCAGGCAAGCACTTTTTCCACTGAGCTATCTCCCCAGCCCCCGGTGACTCAAGTTTAAGTATACCCCCAAACTGGAACACCGTGCAAGTCAAATTTTTCTCTATATCTTCAATATATATTGTTGAAGAGAAAGAGGGAAAGACATGTTCAGCTGATATTAAGACATTCACATCAAAAAATCAATTTTCATATGGTATCACCTACCAGTATCTTCCCCATTTATTTCTCCAAGTATCTAGTATAAACAGCAAGACTATGTATCAAAAAGCAATGTAACATTCCCAGTGACAATATTGAGACACCGAAAAATTTAAGTCATGCAAAAGATTTTAAATCACATTCGGTGAAATGCTAGTGTAGCATATTTTATATTTATATTATATTTATGTAAGTGACATATTATAGGTCAGAATGCTACTGATACATTGATTGTCCAGGAGATGCAATTTTCATTATTCTGATAAACAAATGAATACAATTAATTAGGATGTGAGTGAATGTGCTTCCTCCAATGGTAAATTAAGAGTGAAAAAGCAGCAAAAAGATCCAGGACTGAGAAATAGAAGGAAATGGATAATGGCTCTAGAATAATCTTGCAAGCAAATAGCTCCAGAACACTTAAGAGCTGAGTGCATAGAAGACAAAAGTAGACTGCATGAAGGCCAAACCTGTTATCTCAAATAACAACAGACTGAGTTGGTCTTACTTGGGTTTTATGGGTGTTCACTAATGAGGGTGCTGCAGCCACCATGGAACTGCTCCGGGGTCTGGGCAGCAGGGGGATATCAGGCTCTGTGGTCTTCTCTGGCTTCTCTTCCAACATGTGTCGCAGCCTTTGAAGATAGTACATCAGGGACCACTGAGTGCCTTCCTCAGACCAGTGGGGCTGGAGCAGGCAGCGGAGAACAGCAACGTCAAAGTAGGTGGCATAACGTGACCTTTGGCATGGAGGTATCACAAGAGAGGCCCTGTTCCCAAAGACAGAAAGAAGAGAATGACCCTGGCAGTCAGACCTTTCCTGGGGCAGTGCAGTGAGTCCAGCTCCACTTGCCCTGCTCACTCACATACTCAATCACTTATGTTTTGTCTGGTTTACTCTGGTATCCTCCTAACTGGTCTCACTCATCCCACTTTCATAAAACATTTCCTTAAAAAAAAATCCTAGAAGCATAGACTTTGAAAAAGTTTTGAAGAAATGGTTATGAATCAGCCAGGCAAAAGTGACATTGGGGCAGGAAGGCAAACTAGCTTTCCAGTTAGAACAAGGTCTGCAAAGGTGCAGACTTCAAAACTTGTGAGTGGGGCGTGGTGGAACACCAGTAACTGGCATAGCTGGTGAGTAATTTGGTTGCTGAGAATCAGCTCTACAGAAATAAATGAAGTTCACATCATGATGTTTCTCTTGTGTCTATGCTATCAAGTTTGACTCCAATGATATGTATCTTGTCTACTGTACTATACTATTCTTTTAAAATTTCAACTGGGAAAATAATTATGTAAAATTTCAACTGGGAAAATAATTATGTAAAATTTCAACTGGGAAAATAATTATATAAAATAATTTTACATAATTATGTAAAATAATTATGTAAAATTAAGGAATTTGCAAAATTCTAGACAAAAGTTTTATTATAAGGAAAATGAAATCATCTTGAAAATTCTAAAGCTAAATATCCATGTGAGGAGCAAAACAAACTAAAAAAATTTAAAAATTCAGAATCCTATTCATTTTATACACATGATATATTTAGTACTCAGTGTTCAACTTAATGAAGTTAAAATACTTTTGAGCTGTTATCCAGCATAATACATTATTTTATAAATTTTATTTGGAGGACTGAATTAGTACGACTGAATGTCTATATGGTTCAAAATTTGTAGTAGAAACTTTTGACCCCCAATATAATTTAAGGGTGGTGGGATCTTTGACAGATAATAAAATCATGAAGGCAGAGTCTTCACAAATGAAATTAGTATACTTCCTTCCAAAGGGTTCTTCAGAGAGCCTCATGCTCTTTTCCTAGCACGCGAGGGTCTAATGAGAAGACAGCATACAGCCCCAGAACCTGATCGTTCTGGGCCCCAATCTCAGACTTCTATGCTGCAGAATTGTGAGACATAAGTATCTGTTGTCTATAAGCCACCTAATTTATAGTATCATATTATAAAAGCCCCAAATGACTACTGGTGGATATGAAGATTCATCTTAGAAATCATGCAATTCAGTAAGAAATATAGACAATAAATGACAAAATATAAACAATTTCTGAGATCCAAGGGGGCATTTTGAACTGAAATTTGATTCTTGGCCCTCATGCATAATTTCCTTCTAAGTTAGATGATGCAAAAGAGAAATTTGTGTACCCAGAATCAACTAGTAAATGGAACAAGCAATATACAATACACAATATGCAAGTTTCTCCAAAACACAAGCACTTGGTGTGAGATTTTCCTAAATTTTCCAGGTCCATGTTTTGAATTGAAGATTCATTCATGGTTCCATTCAAAAGAACATAGCCATTATTAAGCTTAATGTAATAAAAACCAGAGAGTATATGTATATGTTTGTATATGTTTGGCTAAACATTTGTTTCCCTTCACATGTTTATTTAGAGTCATTAGTTGAAAATATTTCATATTGTGGGTGGCAGAAAAAGTTCTGCCTGGTGTCCTAGACATCATTTTCATCATCAGTTTCTACTTTCCCGCTGAAGCCTGTCACATTTCATTAATTTTCTTCTCATCAATAGTACTGGAGGGCTGGGGAGATGGCTCAGTAGAATAAGCGCTTCCCCAGCAGGCACAAGGGCCGGAGTTCAATCCCCGATTCCACCAAAAAAAAAAAAAAAATAGTGCTGGAGTGTGACTGCCCTTATGCTCAAATGGCTTCAAATTTTAATGATGTCATATAGCTTAATATTTTTGAACATTTTAATACTTGACAAGTAGGAAGCTGAATATAGGTTAAAAGTCAAGCATATTTGGTGCTGTAATAGTTATTTAACTAGGTTGGCAGTCACAGTTAAGTTGGAAGCTTTCTACAATATGCTAAGTTTTATGTAATACTATGCCAGTATTTCTCCTTTTTTTTTGTCTCAGAGCATCAGAATGCTCTTTGAAAATCAAGCACATGCCAACTTTTAATCCATCCCAGAGTCCCATAGTTTCCCTTGCCAACCGCTTCCCACCAGCTTTTCATATGAATACCACCATAATTCTAGCCATCACCATCTCTCGTCAGGCATATTGAAAATACTGCTTGAAGTCTGATTAGCTTTTCCTTGTTCTGCTACTCTCTTGTGCAGCTCTGTCCAATAAATTCCTATTCAGTAGTCCTTAGGATGGAATTTAAGCTCCTTACAGTAGTCAACAGGGCCACAAATCTGGATGCGCCCGTTACTCTTGTCATGCCTGCTCTAGTGTGACAGTTAGCACTTTTTTGTGTTAAATCCATGGTTTCTTTGGTAAATAAGCTTATTTGAATATCCTTTCAACTTTTCTAGTTGAAAAACCATTGAGTCATATCTCTTACCATTTCCTAAGCAGGTTACATTACTTACCCATTTCTTCAACCCCATTTTATTTCTCTTTCTTTTAAAATAAAAATTACTTGCTGAGTTTACACACCTATAATATTCAAATAACGGAACTTAGAAAAAAAGGGTATACAGATGAATGTCCATTTTGTATCTGTGTATTCAAAGTGGATGGGATAGATATATAGTTACATTCTCTTAATGAATAGAATGATTTGTTCTAATGGTGTTTGTAAATAGGACCTCAAGTCCACATCTTGTACAGCAATTAACCACTAAGAAGAATGTATGCAGTGTGTTAGTTATTGAAACTGTCCTAGCGATTGATGTGAAACTGTCTCATTGCTATCTGTTTATCAACAAAATTATGAAAAAAATTACTAATACAAAATAAAATTATGGAAAAAAATAAAAATTACTTAACCTACTCCTCCAGCCTGTCATAGATACCAAAGAAACAGGAATTCTTCTTTTCAATGTGGATATATATATATATATATATATATATATATATATGACAAAGTATGGGGTTGGCTGGCTACCAGCTGTGTAATTTTAGGTCTTCAAACCTTCATGACAGGCATCTGGCTTATTATAAGAGCCTGTGAAGACCACTATTTCCTTGATGAGGGAGGAATCTATGATTAAAGGCAAATATTAGCAGTTTCACAGAATTATTTTTCTGTGAAGCTAGACTAGTTGTAGTTTTACTTACTCTTTATTTTCTACCCATACAAGAACCCAAATATTTCTAGTTATTAACTTAGAGAATCCCACAAATTATTTCACATCCCTAGAGCACAAGCACAGCATTATATACTGTTCTACATGAGATGCACGTGGGTCCTCTTCCATGGCTACCCCAAGGACAGAAAAGAGATCAGAGTTAAAAATGCACCCACCCTAGGCTTCCTGAACCAGACTTTCTGAGGCTGGAGTCCAGGAATCTTTATATTAAACAGTATCCAAAGGTATTCCTTAAATAGTTCTAATAAGATTGGAGGACAGTGGTCCTAGAGACAGTTGAAATTCACAATTTCTTCTTTTAGGTCAACAACTGAACAATTACTATCTGGAAACCCCACAACTGTGATAGGTTGACAATTTCATTCTTGAGGGCACCAGATGACTAAGGCTGTACACACAGTTTATTTGAAAATAATTGTACCATCTAGCTAAGTCCTGTAAGCCGTAAAGACCTTCTAACAGAGTCTGTCAGTTCATATGATGAGCGGCAGAACAGCCCAACTCATGAATAATGCTATTATCAGAGACTAAAAGCAGGCCTGTAACCTGTGTAATTGAAAATTATTGAGTAAGTTCAAATTTGAATTGCTTAATATTGAAGAAAACTCCATTTAAATAACAATGAACTGACAAGACTTTTTGCAGCAAATATTTACAAATGGAACTACCTGAATGGAAAGTTATTCAAATACTAGCTTATGCAAGTTTAAGTTGGAGTCGTACTGTCCTGAATAGTCACTAAGAAGCAAGAATGATCAATTTGGTTTCATTTAGTACATCATTATCAGATGTAATTAACTAGTCATTAACTGATAAAAGTCATTTTAATTAGGAAGCTAATTAGCATGTGAGGGAAATTTACATAACTGGATCAAAATGGTACAAGGGAAGCTCAGTATATGACATGATGGAACAGTTATTTCGAGCCCTAATATTCTATAATACTATGAGTTATTTAGTAGAAAAAATGAAAATTTCAAGAAAAAATAGGAATATAGTTTTCCTGCTAGATGACATGTGCAAAAATAATAAAGAAAAACACATATACAAAATGTTAATGATGTTTATATATACCAGATGGATTCACAGATGGGTTTTACTTTTTTCCAATATTTTATACACTTAAAAATATTTTCTGACTATTTCACCTTTGAAGATTTTTCTGCCCTTCCACAGTAGCTGTCTGTTTTCTCTCTTCTCCCTTTTTCTCTTCCTTCAAATAGATCATCTTCTCTTAGTTTTTTTTTAAATTCTATTATAGCATTATACAAAATAGTATGTATAGCCAAATAGCTCAGTGAATTAAAGCACCTGCAAGCAGGCACAGGGGCCAGGGGTTCGATCCCTGGGCCTGCTATGCCAGCCCCGCCCCCCCAGATCAAGCTGAGACAGCAATTGAGACTGGGCCCAGTTCTTGGGAGGCTGTAAACAGCTGGATCACTATGAGTCCAATCTAGTACTGAGACCTTGAATACCCTGTAGACCCTTCCCTAAAATACAAAAAAGTTATATTCATAAAATATACAATATTCTGGTGAAAAAGACTTTTAGAAGAGGTAAGAATTAGTTCAATCTACTTTCCTGTCATGATGTCTTTAGGAAGAAAGTTATTTCAAGTGTTAGGAGATGACAGTAAAGAACATCAAAGGCAAATAAGAACCTGGGAAATAACAGACAATCTGGAG